TATATACATGTACAGGTATGATGACATAACAATGTTGATGTAAGGTGTTGACAGTCAACAGTCAACAATGTTGACTCTAAGGTGTTGTAGAAGGGAAAAAATAATGAAAAAATCTGCTAAACAAAAATAAAATTGTTTGTGCCTGCATCCAAGTGTTATACAGAGACCAAAGCTTCTCTTAAGCCACAATGATGATCTAATAATATTGTGAGCTATGATATAATCCTGCTAATGATGCCACATTGAGTTTACCATTCTGACATCATCACGGCTTTAACCAGATTCCGAGTATGGATCACCAAAGGCTCCACAGGCTGAAGCCAGCGAGTATCCAGGCTGTACCTGGGAGACCTTACCTGCGTTTGTTCAGACGGGCTATGCTGCAGTCGTTCTCATACCCTCCGGTGTGATTGAGCATCCCCGTATGCACAATATGCCCAACTGGCACCTCCAGGTCGTTGGAGAAGAGATACTGCAGAACTTCCAAAGCTTGTCCTCCCGTGGACTGCAGCAGGTGGGAGAAGGAACACAAAACGTAAGAACAGCTTGACAGATGAGGCCTAGTCACAGCAGACGAATCTGAAGCCTACCAGCTGCCTGCGAGAGGAGATGGAGGCATGGTGTCTCCTGGCACTATTCTGCTGTAGAGGCATTTGGAGCCAAACTGCCCCGACCCAGAGATAACTTGGTCCCTGTCCAGTGCATCCTATTGAACTATTACCATCTGGCAGACAGTACAGGACAATAAAAACAAGGGCAAATTGAAACAAGCAAATTGACTGGAAACCAGAGACATTCCTATTAGGCATAACAACGACTAAATTTAAGAGAGACCTTATATTTTAATCTTGCATAGAATTACAGTGGCTAGGATTGCATTCGCGCAGAGATGGAAGAATAAGTCGACACCCAATGAAGATGAAACAATAAGAAAGATTCTAGACTGCGCTGAGATGGACGAGTTAAATAAAAAAGTCCAAGGAAAGGAAGAGACAGAGTATTATTTATTATGGGGGAAATGGTACAGGTGGTTGGGGAAAAGAAACAAAGATTAACGATGATAGCCTAAGAAAGATAAAAGTTACAAACCAAGGAAAAGGGTTAAGCAAGCAGAAGGACAAAGTTTGTCTGATGTATATAGCGAAAATATAGATAGATAAGTGAAAGATAATGAAATAAGAGGGTTAAAAATGATGAAACTCAATCGAAGTGTATTAGGAGGAAAAATGGTATATATAAAAATGTACTGATTCAAAACTGCTTCAAGAAGGAACATGAAGTTCCGGTGTGTTGTGTAAATATAGTCTATGTCTTCCTTATTGTGTTCATGTTTTTAAAATTAAAAATTAAAAAGAACAAGGACAAATAGGCTGAAAAACAGCTTCTATCCNTATTGCAGTCTGACTCCTGACCGGCTCAAGGTTGATTCCGCTTTCCAACCTTCCAAGCTGGGTAAAATGAGGACCCAGATTGTTGGGGGACAATAGGCTGACTCTGTAAATCACTCAAGAGAGCTGTAAAAGCCCTGTGAAGTGGTATATAAGTCCCAGGGCTGTTGCCATGGCTACTGTCTCCTTTGCACAAAGGGAAAAATGGAAGAGCAGACACAAAAAGCCCCATGAGGGGCATCTTATAACGGAGGCAAGCTGACTTCCGACAAGCAAAGCAAGGGAAGTTACAAATAGCAACCATGGGATTCCTCACTTAAGGACTGCACTGCTTAATGATGATTTTTTTCCTGACCCCCAACTGAAGTCGTAAATTGAGGACTACCTGTAAGCATCTGCATGAGCAGGAAGAAAGTTGCCAAATGAAATGGAAAAGTCCCCTACCTTACAGAAGAGGGAAGGGAAATGCTCAGGTGTCATTGGCGCATACGACAGCTCCGACAGGACATCCATGGCACGTGGGCCAATCAGATTCAAGGCTGGAGGAAAACAAAGGAAAAGAATTCAGCTTCAGGAACCACTGCAGAATAAAATCCTTGCCCCATGACTTCCTTCTTCTTCCCTTTGCAGCTTGTCAGCTCAACACAAACCAGCAAAAGCTGGGAAAGGATCCGGAATCTGAAATTGGATCTCACTTGGGGAAGAGGAGACCACTTCAATGGGACAAGATACCTGGAGACCCTAACACAAGTTCTTGCATCTTTTCCAGCTAAAGGCTTCTCCCATCAGCCTTCCAAAACAAGCGCCCAGCTGTGCCAAGCGCTGATGCCCACGTTGAGCAACTGTCCTCATCCAGCCCTTGGGTTAGGCCTCTGGGATAGGGGAGCAACATCAACTGTCTACCCCATAGCATGGCAGCCAGTTTGGGAGAGCCAGTTTGGTCTAGTGGTTAAGGCACCAGACTAGAAACAAGGAGGTGGTGAATTATAGGGCCACGGTGATGCAGCGGTTAGAGTGCAGTACTGCAGGCTACTTCTGCTGACTGCCTGCAGTTTGGCAGTTCAAAGCTCACCAGGCTCAAGGTTGACTCAGCCTTCCGTCTTTCAAAGGTCGGTAAAATGAGGACCCCGATTGTTGGGGGCAAGAGGCTGACTCTGTAAACCGCTTAGAGAGGGCTGGAAAGCACTGCAAAGTGGTATGTGTCTAAGTGGTATTGCATTTTTTTTCTTTCTTCCTTCCTTCCTTCCTT